GGTTCAGGTTGATGCTTTTTGACGCGAAACCGAAATGACCCGAACACGAAAGTGACCCGACCTGATCTATTTGTCACCCCTAATTTAGAGTTAGGGTTCTTCCCGAGGGCGTTGTAGCCGGATAAAATAGTGTAACATGCATCATGTGCCTTATTTCTTCAGCTGTAGGAGAGTGAGTTTATGAGCCATTTACAAGTCAATTCAAATGCTTTATAATTTTCTCTCTTTTAAGGTCCCTAGGACCATCTACTTTCATTTCTACTTTACTAGTAACGCAGGAATTCCTTTCTTTGTTTCTTCTCTCTTTTTTACCCATATGTAATTCGGAACCTTCGACGACGGAGAGGTTGGGTTGACTACCCAGCATAAGTAGTTTCCGGCGATCCTATCGTTGTTGCCTCTAGGAAGCAGTAGACTATCGATAGAGAACTACTGGAGGTAGAGGTGGCCAGTGGGCCGGGTTGGACCCAGCCCACCCTAACTCGCACGGCTGGTGGGTCACGTGGGTCCGACCCGGTTTCAATCCGGCACAGCCCGGCACAGCTCGGATTTAATCCGGGTTGTGTCGTGGGTCCAAAATTTTCGACACAACCCATTTCAACCCAGCTCAGTTTAACCCGTTTGATTCGACCCAAATCGCACAACCCGTTTTGACTCATTTAATTCGACACACCTAGCCCGTGAACCCACCTAACCCGACCCACCTGGCACAACCCAGCCCGCACGGCCCACCCGCACGAATGACCCACCCAACCCGCACGAGCCAACCCACCTAACCCGCACGCATGACCCACCCAACCCGCACGCATGACCCACCCAACCCGCACGGCCGGCACAACCCGCACGGCCCGCACAACCCGCACAGCCCGCACAATTCGCACGACCCGCACGGCCCGCACGGCCTAACATCCATTTTAAAAAAAAAACGGCTAGTTTTTTGTATCTAACGGCTAGTTTTTTGTATCTAACGGCTAGTTTTTTAAGTGTATGATCATCCATTCTATTTTTCCTATAAATACCAATTCCATTTCACTCAAATTTCCACACAAATTCAAGCTTTCTTTCTCTCTTACTTAAAAATTCTTATTGTTCTCAAATTCTCAAGTGTTATATAGAGTTATATTTTTGTTAAAAAAAATCTCCTTAATATTATTATTAGTATTCTTAAGATTCTAAAAAAAAAAAGTTCTTCTCCATATTATAATTAGTAATCATACAAAAAAAAAATGAGCTCAAGAGGAGGAATGGGAAGGAGTCAAAGTGGTGGTCGAAGTGGTAGCCAAAGGAGTGGTGGTGCAAATTTTTCGTATGAAATTAATACGGAAAATTTAAACCAATTTGTCAATGAATATGGAGATTATGGTTTAGGAGATGGGCAAAATATTCAAACGTCTCCACCACAACATTTCTCCCACCAATCATCAAGTTCAACTATGCCACCTCCATCGCAACCAACATCTCAACCTTCATCTCAAGGTAATTTCTAATTAAATTTTTATTGTTATGAATATTTAAAAAAACTATTATTAATGATTATAAAGTTAGTTTAGTTTCCAATTTTCTATGATTTACAATTAGTTAATTACCATGAAAAATGCGTTTAAATAAGTATAATTAAAATATTTAAAATTTAAAAGCTTATTTTCATGAATAGCATTTAAAAATTAATTTTAATAATTTGATTTATGAAAGGTGGTGGCGGTGAAAGTAGAGGTCGAGCACATTTTTCTTGGGTGTGGAAACATTTTGAACGAGTTGAGGTCACACCCCCGGGATGGCAACCTGGTCAACCAAAGAGGTTCACGTGTACATGCCTAGTTTGCAAGGCGCTAGGTGCAAATGTCAAGTCATATAATTGGAAAACGGGAGATGGAACCGGAACCTTGAGTCGGCATTTGCAAAATAAACACGACTTGTTCGAAAATGGCCCCCGTCCTTCGGGGGGTGGCGTCCAAACACAATTGGGTGGATACATGAACCAACCCGGCGGAGGTACACCTTTCATTTATAATAAAGATAGAATGATTGATGAAATGAGTACTTTAGTTATTGCTAATGAATACCCTTTTAGTTACGGTGAAAATGCAAACGTTGAGCATTTTAATAAAGTTGCATTACAACCTGCATTTACTCGTGTCCCCCGAAATACCCTAAGACGTTATACACAAACTTCTTATTATAAGTATAGGAGTGGTTTGATTGAATTATTTCGTACTTTTGATGGTCGTGTTAGTTTTACAAGTGATACATGGACTTCTAGTTTTGGCGAACCTTTTCTTTGCATTACTGCTCATTGGGTGGATGATGATTGGTTTATTCAAAAACGTATACTATGTTTTCAAGCTATGGAAGAAAGGCATACCGGTTTTAACATCAAAGTTCGTATTTTGGATTGTTTAAAAGAATTTCACTTGAATAATAAAGTTTTTTCTTTGTCTCTTGATAATGCAACTGCAAACACAAAGTGTATTGACTATTTGAAAAATGACTCCGAGTTGAATTTGTTGTTGGGTGGTAGTCTCTTGCATGTTAGATGTTGTGCTCATATTTTGAATTTGTCTGTTCAAGAGGGTCTCGCTGAGTTGCAACCATTGCTAAACCCAATTAGAACAGTTATAAAATGGATTAGGATTACTCAGTCAGTTAGAAGAAAGTACATAGCTATGTGTAAAGAGAGAGGTCTTAAGAAAAGACAATGGTCTATTGATACCCCTACCCGTTGGAATTCTACTTTCAAGTTGTTGAGTGATGCTATAAAGTATCGTGATATTTTGACCCAACTTTACAATGAGACTCGTGTTGATCCTACTGAGTTAATAACCGAAAGTCATTGGACTAATGCTTCTTTTGTTCGTGATGTTTTAAATGCTTTTGATAGTGCAACTCATATTTTCTCTTATATTTATGAGCCTAACGTTCATTTAGTCATAATTGAGTGTGTTAAAGTTGTTCACACCATCGAAGAGCATATGAAGATTGATGGACTTCGTCCCGTTCTTGATAGCATGAAACGTAAGTGGCATACTTATTTTAGTGAATTTCCAATCATTTATGGAATTGCTGCTATTCTTGACTTCGGTGTCAAAGCTGAAGGTTTGGAAAATCTTTTAGAATTTTATTATACAAGTTTAAGTATCGATTATGATGTTAGTGAATATATTAACAAATGCAAATCTGTTTTGGGAGACCTTTATGATCATTATGCATCTATTTATGGTTTTGATTTGGCAACACCAACTACTACTAGCACTTCCGATTCTAGATTTGGTTTTCTTGATAAAGTTATGAAAAAAAAACACAAAGCATCTACATCATTCTCATCATCATCTTCTTCAACACTTGCTATTAATGATTATTTGTCATATCAACATGAGACCAACAACAACTTTCAAATTATAAAATGGTGGCAAGAACATAAAAAAAGTTTTCCTATATTGGCGAGAATTGCAAAAGATATACTTGCAGTTCCCGCTTCATCTGTTGCTTCCGAGTCTGCTTTTAGTGCAGGTAGAAGAGTGTTAGATGAAAAAAGATCTCGCTTAACTCCGGAAAGCATTCAAATTTGTGTTTGTAAGAAAGATTGGGATCAAGCTGAAAGAAGAACTCAAGGTTTAAAGGAAGACGAAGACGATGAAGATGATCCTGTGATGATATTGGAGTCGTCAACGGATGATGCAGCTTCCGGGGATGATGATGCAACAAACATGGGTGGCTAGAAAAGTCTAAATCAGGTACGCTAAGAACTACGTGGGCTTTGATTCTTTCGGGATACGTAGGCAGCTTATTTTTCGAAAATTACAATTTAATTGCAAAATTAAATTTTAGTTTTCTAAAGATAGGTCCAAGCCCCCCCCCCCCCAAATTTCAAAAGAAGTACAATATAAGAACTACGCTGGCTTTGATTCCTTATTTTATAATATAAGGATACGTAGGCATCTTAATTAAGAGCAAGCCATCAAATTGTTAATTTTGTAAAAATTAAAACACCACACAACCCACCCGACCCTAACCCACGAACCCACCCGACCCTAACCCACAAACCCACCCGACCCTAACCCACCTAACCCACAAACCCACCCGACCCTAACCCACCTAACCCACAAACCCACCCGACCCTAACCCACTAACCCACCCTTCGACCCACCCTAACTCACTAACCCACCTTGACCCGTCTAACCCACGAACCTAGCTCGACCCACCCATGACCCGTCTAACCCACAAACCCAGCTCGACCCACCCACGATCCGTCTAACCCACAAACCCAGCTCGACCCACCCACGACTCGTCTAACCCACGAACCTAACCCTGGTGTGTCCAACTTCTCCGACCCAACCCACGACCCGGCCCACCCTACCCTACGTGTGTCGTGCCGTGTGTCATGAAACCCCAACCCGCGACCCACCTAACCCTAACCCAGCTCGCACGACTCGCACGGTGGACACCTCTAACTGGAGGGGTTTCAACCCCACCTTTTCATGAATATAAAACTGGATCCACTAGATTTTACCTAGTGTGCTTAGTAAATCTCTTCGTACGGGTTGACACATATTCAATTGTCTTTACTCCTTTATATACAGGGAAAAATTTAGTCACGTGAGATCTTATTAAGTCTGTTTTTATATCATTTTATAAAATTTTTATGTTGAAATTTTAAACCATATATGAAGAAAAAAAAAATGGTAGATCTATTTTAAAATGTAGGAAGAATTATGTAGTATTAAACAGAAAAAGAAAAAAAAGAAAAAAAAAAGGAGAGGCTATTTTAAAAAGATTAAAAAAAAAAAAAGAGGTTAATTTGTAAATGCTCTTCACATTTTGTACTAGTAACAATCATTTTAATCAACAACATTAAAGAACCAAAACAATAATAAATTAGCAAAAAACTAATTTCATTCAATAATAATTTTACTCAATCATCAATAATAGAGAATAATATTAATAAATGAAATAAATGAAATCTTCTCTCAAAGGAAAAAAAGTATAAAATCACCCGTTATTTCACCAAATGCCACTGAGTAATTTCGAAATTCACCAAATGCCACCGAGTTTTAGTATAATATCACCAAATGTCATTTTCATTAGTTGACCGTCACTGTCCGTTAATTGACCGTTAGTTGACCCCACCACTTTCCAAGTGTCACCTTCTGATTGGCCCGTTTTAAAAAAAAATAATTAAACAGAAAAATTAAAAAAAAAAACAAAAAAAAAATACTACGTAAGAAAAATAATATAATAAAAAAAACCCAAACAACCACCCTCCCTTTCCTCCATAACTTCCGACCAACACCACAACAGCCACCCCCCTCAACGCCATCACCAGCGACCCCCATCCTGAACACACCACCAACACGACCCACTACTAGCCCATAACCCACAATCGGCCACCCCCCTGCTGCCCTCGCCCCTTCCCGGCACCCCATCTCCTTCCTCGCCCTTTCTTCCCCATTCCCTCATCGTCAAGCTCCACCTGCCCCACTAGCCACCCTTCTTTAAAAATCACTAATTCCAGGCTTAATCCCTAAATCTCAAAAAACCCAGAAAAATTAAATCAAAAAAGTGATAAACATGGGAAATGGGTATTGATTAAAATGCGGAAAAATGAAGTGGGGTTACCGGATAAATAGCCGACGGTGACAGAAATGCCGGTAATAGTGACGAAACGGAGGTAATCGAGGAAAACGTCGGTAATAGCCTGAAATTGCTGAGATTTGGTTCACGCTCTGGCCATTGATGCGAATGGTGCGAGATTGGTGGAGGAAATAATCTCGGCGGTGATTTTTGGGGTCGAGGCTGGCTGTGTGGGTGGTTTTGGGGGTCGGCGGTGGGTCAGGTGGGGTGCTAAAGGGCAGGCCGGCCGATTTTTGTTGGTTACGAAGGTGGTCGGCCGTTTTCCGGCAGGGTAAGGGGAGGGGCAGGGTTTCGGGGTGGTGGCTAGGGTGGTTTTAATGGTTTCTGTTTTTTTTTTTTTTTTTAAAAAAAAAATTTGGTTTGTTTTTAATTTATTTGTTTATTTTTTTTTATACGGACTAATTAGAAGGTGACACGGGGCAAGTGGTGGGGTCAACTAACGGTTGTCAGTCATTAATGACACTCAGTAAATTATACTAAAACTCGGTGACATTTGGTGTGACATTTGGTGAAATAGCTGTAAAATCACTAGTTTGCAAGTATGTACTTATTTGTTAACAGATTAAAATTTGCCAACTAATCTCCTCTCCTCTTTTCCCCTCTTTCTCTCTCCTCCTTCATTCCCCACCACCACCCACCCACCCACCCACCATTATCGCACACCTCAAGATTATCTCTCCTTTTCTTCTTCAAATGTTCCCTTTTCCCAAGAATTTCCCAAACCCCTAACTTTCCCAGATTACTGCTGTTTCAATTTCGGAAATTAGGGTTTTGATCTTCTTCTATTTTTCACATTTCAATCAATGTCGCAGCTCAAAGCAATTGGTCACATGGCGGATGATATCCCATCAACCCCAGGAAAATTCAAGCCTGAAAAATCATCGATTTACTTCAATAGAATCCGATGGTACTCTTCTCTCTCTAAACTTACCCTTTGGTCTTTCCTCTTTCTCTCTCTTCTTCTCTTCCTCTTCTTCGCTTCCCCTCGATTTGATTCTTCCCACCGACACGGGGATAATTTCCAGGCCGTTTCGAAAACCACCGCCACCGCCGCCACTTGGGGTGGTCACTATTGGGAGCGCCGTGTTCGGCAATCTGCACGGGTCAAACAGGGCACACACGGGTTGACCGTGCTCGTAACTGGCGCATCTGGGTTTGTTGGGACCCATGTATCAATGGCGTTGCGAAGGAGAGGAGATGGTGTTCTGGGTCTTGATAATTTCAATGATTACTACGACCCTTCTTTGAAAAGATCTCGTCAGAAGCTTCTAGAACGTGCTGGAATCTTCGTGGTTGAAGGGGATATCAATGATCGAGATCTTTTGACGAAATTGTTTGATGTCGTTGCGTTTACCCATGTGATGCATCTTGCTGCTCAAGCTGGGGTAAGGTATGCAATGGAGAACCCTAAATCTTATGTTAATAGTAATATTGCTGGACTTGTTAATTTGTTGGAAGTTTGTAAATCTGCGAATCCACAACCTTCGATTGTTTGGGCTTCTAGTAGTTCTGTTTATGGATTGAATTCGAAAGTTCCGTTTTCGGAGAAAGATCGAACTGATCAACCTGCTAGTTTGTATGCTGCTACTAAGAAGGCTGGGGAGGAAATTACTCATACTTATAATCATATATATGGGTTGTCGATTACCGGGTTGCGGTTCTTTACGGTTTATGGACCTTGGGGTAGGCCTGATATGGCGTATTTCTTCTTTGCTAAGGATATGTTGAAAGGGAAGCAGATTAAGGTGTTTGAGGGACCGAATCATTCGACTGTTGCTAGGGATTTTACCTACATTGATGATATTGTGAAGGGGTGTTTAGGGGCGTTGGATACGGCCAAGAAGAGTACCGGGACTGGTGGGAAGAAGAAGGGGCCGGCGCAGTTTAGGGTCTTTAATTTGGGGAATACTTCGCCTGTTAGTGTTACTGAGTTGGTCAGTATATTGGAGAAGCTGCTTAAGGTTAAGGCTAATAAGAAGATTTTGCCGCTGCCTAGGAATGGGGATGTCCCATTCACGCACGCAAATATCACATTGGCTCAGAAGGAGCTCAATTATAAGCCTTCGACTGATTTGCAGACGGGGTTGAAGAAGTTTGTTAGATGGTATTCGAGTTACTACTCAGACTCGAAGAAGAAGAGTGGCTCTGTTTGGTAAAATTGGAGGTGGTGTGATGTTTGAGGAGATATCGCGCTAGAAGTGTGCTTTCTGGCAATCTGCTGAAATTGGAGGGTTTTTGTTCCATGTTTTCTGTCTGCAGAAGCGTACCTCGATTGGAGTATCTGTGGAGGTATCTTCATTGTTTTTTTTGTCCACATATTGCTTTGTTCTTTTAGGGTTAGGTATCACTAATAGTTAGCAAATGTACAGCTTCTGAATTCAGACTACAATTTACAGTTTCAATAACACTACGCTGGTTCATTTATGTTTTGTTTTGATTTTAAATACCAGTTGCAATACTTTAAGATTGGTAGATGAGGTTTTGTCCGAACTTGCTCTGTATTTTACTAGATTTTATTGATATATTGCACTTTGATGTATTTAATTTTTTTGTGTCTATATTCAGTATATATATGGAATGATACCCTCTTCCCCTCTGTTAGTTATTCTTGATTTGCAGGTGGAGTATTAAGAATTAAGGGTATGTATAAGATTATAATGCTTCTAGACCGTGCAGTGTATAATTTGCTATTCTTGATTAGCTCTTCCATTGTCTCCTCCATTTTCCCTCCCTTCATGGTGAGGATAATGCTATTAAATCAGGATGATAATTGCATCATCTAGTATGTTAGAGCTTTATTATCATTTATTCCAAAAACCAGAAATTATTTGGCGATTGGGAGCCTAATTGAACTAGTCAAAATAAACTAAATTCTTAACCAATGGGATGGACTGAAGAATGTAAGGCATATGATTTTGCCTTTGGAGTTTCATGAAGGAACGCTTTTGTGTATAAGCTATATAGGGATTTTGGTGTATCCGTGTATAGTCTTTATATATGATATCTTGAGAGGTTAAGTTGTGTTATGCTAAAGAGCATTACTACTGTGGGATGCTTGCATTGAGCATAGATGCTTCAAGTAGTATGCCATGTTCCAATTACCATATTATGGGTCCTTGGCCTTGTCACATGTTACTTATGCCTATGCCCAAAAGATTAAAATTCAATACTTTACTGCATTTGGTTTGAAGCTGATTGACTGATTGTTCTATGGTTCTTTTGATCTTCGGAGTCTACATAGCAATATAGACAACGATGCATGGATTCTACTGATACTGTGTAGCCACAGTAGACTTGATCCTCTGGTAATGCCTAGAGATCACCACAATCTGCTCCCTCATGGGATATATGTTAGCAGGCAAGCTAGCATTTGTTATGGTTTTGATGGACCCCTATTGCTTTATTTAGTCTGGTTGCCTTTGATGTTGAATGACTTGTAAAGCTTTTTTTTGTTTGGACAATGACATGACTTGTAAATTCTCAGAGCTGTAAAAGATCTGAGTGTTTTGAGTAAGAGGCGAAATATAATGACATTCACATGAGATTTATGTTCTGATATTTCACAGTTTGAACAGCCATTTCACTTTTTTGGTATTCTGAAATCTAAGTTTTCACTTATGCAGTTGTGAGCTGATTCACCGAGTCTTGCCTGCTGCTGCTATATCCTTGTGGTTCAAGGACTTCAACGATTGCAGACCGGTGAATGGGTTTTATTTGCTTCTTGTGACATGATTTGCTGATAAAACTCTAATTTGATGTCAAGTTGCAATACGCTCACATTATGTAATAAGGGCTGCCTTGAAATTCATACATGTGCTTTAGCAGTTGTATTGCAAATGTTTCAGGTGCGACTAATTTTTTTTAATTTTAAATCTGAAAGTTGAAAATACATTAGTGCATTGCATAGCAGGTTCTACCAGACTACATGTTGATTGAATGCTTTACATTTCAAGTGTAACATGTTTATGAAATTAGTGGCTTTCTTTAAAATCCAGGAATCATTCTACCAATCTACGGATTGGAAAAATCAATATGTTACCGATGGCTAATTGATTAGATCTTTGATTCTTTGGCCGAGTTGTTGCTTTAGAAATTTCCTCTCCTGATGAATGGCTTTTCTAATGGCGGCTTCTTGGATTTGGTCTTGATTACGCTTAGAAGTTGTTTATAATTAGGTTTTGTTTTTTAGCACATAAGGCCCTTTTCTGGATTTGATTAGTGATGGCTGCTGTTTAAATTATTTTGCTTAAGAATTTCTTGGTGGATAGGCAGGACGGCTGTGTTGTTTTGTTGTCTTGATAGGCTAATACTCCTAAAATACCGCTTATTCCCTCAAACGTCGCAATTTGAAAAAAGTACCGGGGAAGTGTCATTTGGTGGCCATCTTTGGTCAGTTATGTAGCCATCCAGCCATGGTGCTCTGAACTCAAATTCACATACATATAAAAGTAATCTTGTCTACCCAAATTAAGTTGTTAGAGTCGTTCTACGTATACAACAGGTCCTTTGATATTGTGTTACTTTCACTTTTTACCATACCAAATCTTTATAATATTTGGGAGCAGCGGGAAGTAGCAACTGATTGTGATAGATTTCCATCGTTGGAGATTTGGTCAATTGTGCTACAAACACTAGACTAGTCTTTCTGTCTTTGTTGAAATTTTAACTACCTACGTAAACATATTCTGGTTGAGAAGTCAATGTTTAGAAATTATCAATCATTATATACAAAAATAATTATAGAATTATCACATCCAGTACAAAAACAATTAAAACAAATTTATATCAATAAAGAAAAATTGAGACAACCTGTGTTCATACTTGCATTAGCTTAGTAAGTTTGGAACAGCCAACCAAATTCTTTCGAGGCCTTGACAATGCAGGTACGCTCCATCTGAAACCACTCAAAGAAAGCGATACATAACCCGTTACAGTTTGACAACTGACCATACAATTCCAATTATTCAAGGTATACAACTTTCAGAGATCAGCAGCACAACCTAACCCTACATTCCATTGAAGAATCGAACCAATACTATTCATAGTCTTCAATACTGTAAAGACTAAGCACATAACAGCTCCCAATCTTAATTTCTTTGTCTCCAACATGAGTTTTTTGAGTTATCAAAGGAAAGTTCCTGTTTTCCTAACAATGCTCAGAGGAGGGAAAAGAAGAAACAACAATTATGAGCAGAAACATGACATCAAAAGGCCTGAATTACGATCATCACCTCGACTCCACCTCGGAAGCTCAATTCTTTTACATCACATAGATCAAGTCAGGCGAAATTTTTTATAACTAACCTCAAAAAGTTTGCGCATTCAACTGACATGCATTGGATATTAATTTGCAACTCCATTTCCTATCAAGGGCATGACCACATGAGACTGATGAGAGCCAGGCCTTCTTTTTTGAGACAACACTTCAGCAAAGAAGAGCATTTGCATTACAATTTATATTTTAAAGTAGAATTTAAAAAAAAATAATAAAAAAATGATAAGGGATTTGCTTGTATCAAGGAAATCAAACTCCAGTAAGCTTGTTTAGATTACGCAATCACTGTATCGTATCACTCTATTCTGTTACCAATAAGTAATAACCCCATTACCATGGGAAAATTAAAAAAATGGGAGTGGGATCAGTTTCACTGCCAGATACATTTTTCAGAACAGAACGATGAGGTTAAGGCTCCAAAAAATTTGCGCATGATTTCTCAATCCCATTCCCATAATGCCATTATGGATCCCTAGCACTACATTAGCCATAATGGCATACATACTACTCTGACTCTTCAGCAGTACAGCACATTCAGAAATTGCACATAAAAGGAGCTTGAAAAGATGCTAATCCCAGAACGAACATTCAGGTTTCAACATCAAAACATCATATGTGATGACGACCTAACTAAATATAATAAGTATACACTCTTTAAGTACACAAGATATGCTTTTTCATTTTTGAAAGCTCTTCAATATTGGAGTATTTCAGTACATTGTTGCACTCTTACAAAACCCCCCTCAGAGTAAATTAAATATGAGCCTCTTGGGCATAAATCCAACGTATGAGTATCTGCTGAAAATGCACAAATATCTCCATCAAAAAATGCTAGTAAATATCATTCTTTTCCAGCCACATCATTGATCAAACTACCAAACCACAGAGATAATTGATGTTGCAATTCCATTAGTCTTTGTTTCTCCAAAAAGTAAGATGTTTGCTGGTGAGCCAGCTTTGGATTGTAATTACTGTGGTTAGGGATGGCAACAAGTCGGACTCGGAGCGGATTATGCTAAATCCGACTCCGACCCTACAGGAAGTCGGAGGCTAAATCAGACTTCAAATCCGACTCTAACATCCGACTCCGATCCGACTTCAATATTTAGCCTCCGACTCCGATCCGACCCAACTCAGAATTTTTTTTCGGTTATTCAATATAATTTGTTGAGCTATTTGGGCCTTTGCAACCCACACCCACTACCACCACTACCCCCACCCAAATCCACAATCCATTAAAGTCGGAGTTGAATAATCCGTCAGAGTCGGATTTTTTTTTCTCGGTTTTTTTGTAGGATCCAACTCCGACCCTCCTCCGACTCGAAGTCGGATTATTTTCATGGAGTCAGACTCAGATTACTTTTTTCTCGGATTCAGAGTGGATTATCTTTCTCGGATCGGGGCAGAGTAGGGTCGGATCCGGACTGGATTTCCCTAATTGTGGTTGTCACCATGTTGCTGACAGTAATCTTGATATAGGAATGTAAAGGCAAAGATCCTTTTGACGTTTTTCATTGATAAGGGCCTGTAAACCCAAATTTCAGCTATATAAGGAAATTTAGAAAGAAGAAAAGCTATGTAGCTGATAGCAAAAAAGCATCAAGAGATAGGACATATGGATTTATTGGCTCTCATCTTGACCTATAGGGAAAAAGGATGAAGAGAATAAGTAGAGCAGAACTCAATTCTTAAATCTCCAGAAACCTAATTTAATCCGTCATACTTTAGACGAGTACATTGGATTTCTAGATTGATCAATATTCAAATCATCACATGTCAATAGCTCCAACTTAAGTTTTAAGGTCACATTTTTTGATAGGGTGGGTTTTCAAATGTACGATGTAGAATACTTGATTAGGAAATACCAAGGCCCTTTCTTAATGTGACTAAAGATCTCTGCAAATGAGGATCAGTATACTTCAGGACATAAGAAGAGAATAAGAAGCCAGAAGCAGGAAAAAATAAAAAGTTACATAATATCATGTAGTCGTGGGCAATGGACCCTATAGATAGGAGGGGTGAGATAGAAATTCAATGAGTACAGCTTTCAAATTCAATGCATACATTATCCAAGCAGATCAGTAATATTTTTCTTTTGCTCGAGCAACCCAATGGACGTACAAGAACACATATGGCATGCAGATATTGACACTGCATGACAGCAAGGTGGAATGTTGTAGTTGCCATAGGATCTAAGTCCTGACATGCCTACTCTGACCCCCCACAATTGATGGCAAGAGGGGTAGGCTGAGTTTTTCTTACTCTTTCAAATGCTATTAATAGCACTCTGGCAATGTTTTATCACGTCTAATTCCACATATATTATATTAACAAATGTGGAGTAAAATAACAAACAAAAAAACAACACTGATTTTTACATGGTTCACTAACAAATTAAGAATGTGTTTGCTATGTCCATATTATTAAAGACAGAGTAGCTAAGTTTTAGTGTTTTACCCTGCAAGGGGTTTTATACACTACTCCAATTGGTATATAAACTGACTAGGCCTAAAATACACCCAAACCCAGATTCCAATTTAGTGACCTTTTCCACACCCCTGCTAAAACAACAGATGTGTTACCGAAGACTGTTTTGGAAAATGGCCAAATGGCTTCCTGGCTTGTTGAAGGAGTAAGGATATAACTCATGACCTCTCTGTCACAACAGTATTGGCAGTAAGATCCTCAACAGGTTTGTAGTTTTCATTGTTTGTATTCTTTTTTCAAATATATGCTATTGTTCATACGAAATCTTATCAGCATCCTGATTAACTATTTAATGTCTATATGTACTAGATGTTCTGCATCCTTGAGTTCTAATCAAGTGTTAACTGTTGGTCACTGGACAGAGATCATCAATAAGCTGATCTGATTGTTTCGAATTAAAAATAATCGTTTCATCACTACTGTGTTCATGATAGTGTCCTCTATCGTCTCTGTTTGCTCCACTATTCATAGAGACTTCAGTTTTCAGTTTCTTAGATTCTAGACCTTCAGACATTTTTATGGATTTTAGACCTCAACATATTACTCGATGATTCTCAAGTTACTTTGAAAGTTCTAGCACTAGTGCATTACTTTCAAAAAATGAAAGGGGAACTACCTAAACCCCAGGCGGAGCTTGGGGAAACGATCAGGAGAGAAATGTGGGGAAACTTTTTACTTGGTCTACCATCTCACTGCATAAAGGTACACATTCCTTTTCTGTAGTATCAATCTGACTATGCCCCAAGAAGCAAAGATAAAAACCAGTTCAAAGCTTTTTCAAAAGTGGATACATGAGAATTGTTTTCTCACAAATGTGCTGCAGCAGATGTCATTCTCTAGATTCAATTAAAGGTAGCAAGAATATCACACATAGTACGTATGTAAGTCCACATGAAACAATAATTGAGCTATATAAGAAAATGGAAAGAAAACATGAGTAAACTCAAATTTATAAGCAACTAAGTATAAAGCAAATGCTTACATGTACACCTATAACCTTCAAGGACCCTCCCAAGACCCACTTAGATGCAGTATTAAATTTCACGGCCATGTCACATCAACAGCGATAGCATAGCTAAAAGGTCATTGTGATGCATTGAAAAGGGTACAAGAAATAAATAACTCACATTGATTCAGTGATAGGAACTCTTTGCTGCTTTCTTTGCAATCACATCTTCCTGTCATTCAAATAATTCACAAAGGATGTCCTTTCATGGGGATCAAATCTGTCAACAATCAAGTCAATGGATTAGAAGATGCACCATCATCAACTGGATCCAATTCCCACCAAGGTCTATCATCATTGTGGAGCAAAGGGTCGTGATCATCTTCAATTGAATCATCAGTATCTTCCTCCTCAAGCTGAACATTCTCAAAATCATAGGCATTACTCCCTTTACAAGCACCTCTTTCAAGATCTGGATTATATGACCATTCCAGTCTCTTCAAAACATCACGATCTTTCCACTGGCCTACAACTGAAACTGCCTGCGTTTTAGCTTTACCAACCAAAATATCCCGCCAAGAAAAAGAGGCATCTGCATTTCTCTTCAGCACCCCATCATGATTGTCACCAACAACAACAGTCTTGAGACATCTCTCCTTAGCCTCCTTCAAGACACCCAAAAAATCTGAATCATCAGAGACAATGACCAAGCATTCTATTCGCCTATGATCCATCATATCCACTATATGACTCTTTAAAGCAACATCAGCTGCTTGTGGTTCATCAGACACCATCCTCACCCAAAAACCAGCACGTTTCAAATCGTCCCCTAAACCATACCCAACCTTGGGAGTCAAAATTTCCCGAGCAGCATTCTTATATTTCTCCATCTTCATTGCATATTTCCCAACCAAATTAACCCTCTTCTTCCCTTTTGCAGACTCTATCTGCTTCAGCCTTTTCTGATGCTCCCTCTCATGAACCTTAAAATGCTCAATAAGCTTCTCATTCATCCTAAATTTCCTCCCACAAACCCGGCATACATACGGTTCAATGCACCTGATAACTCCCTTGTTTTCTAAACGATTTAATACCTTCCTCTCATTCCTCAACTCCCTAACTGCAGAAGGCACATAGCTAAATGCATGTTGGTTTGCATAAGCAACCATATATCGAACAATCCCAAAAGATGAAACTGCCCTTTTCAACTTAATCGCAGCCTCAAACGGAGAGACCGAATTTGGGGGTTTGTTTTCCAAATCCCAGAAAATTCCTATCTTACTTTGAGGAAGTTTCACTAACGCTGAATTAGATGAATTAACAGATGGGTATTGTTCAAAATGACAAAATCTAGCTAATTTAAGACATGGGTTTAGTAATTTAGTTCTTCCTAGATGCAATTCATCTAAAATTCATCTAATAACAAACGAATTACAATTATCGATTAACAGCTTGATTTCTCTAATCATTTGCTTGATCTCTCTATTTGCCCTTTCCTCTTGTCTGAAAGCATTCACAAAGACAGATGAGTCGGGGAGAACAGTGACTTTTCTCCATCTAGTGAGGTGTGTTGGAGTGCCATCAGAGTAGCCATAGCCTCCGCTTGCAAAAATTGTAGTGATGGCTTCCTTTTCCTGGATCACCCATCCCACCGTTGCCCTCCAGGAGTCCTCCAGCTTCCCCTGCAGCTTCTTCCAACATCCGTCCACATAAAGGATAGTATCCTCTAGAAAATTAATAAAGTACAGTTACTACAGTACCGCTATTTTAGTGGAGCAAAAAAAAAAAGAGGAAGCCCACATTTCTAACGTTAATAAATGTTTTTTATTTATCACATGTAAATAAGTGGTCCAGATTTTTTTGAGTTTTGATTTTTAAATTATTTTTGTATTTTGGCTAGTTGTCATTTAACTTGACTTAACGTCCGTTTATTAATTCTTTCTTCTATTCATCTTTCTTCATCCTCCCACACACTTTCATCTTCTTCATTCTCTTTCTTCCTCCCAACCACCTTCATTCATCTTATTCTTCTGAAATCCCTACCAACCTTCATCTTCTTCTTCAAGCCGCTTCGACTTCACCACTACCGACACCACCATTTTCGGTGGGTTAATTAAACGAAAACCTTAAGATCAAAGGGAGACATTAAGGGCATGATCAACCCTTAAGGGTAGAGCTTCCTTCCTCCATTGATTTCGTTGGTTCTCTATTTTGCGGATGTTCATCGGAGGTGTATACTCCGCATTAAAATCAAAGGTTGAAGGAAGAGAGAGAAAGTAAGATCAAAACCAGATTACCATTAAAATTGAAGCTTTAAAGAGGAGAGAGAAATTAAATGTTAATGCTAAATTTATGTTAACAAAAGTTACATGTTAATTACATAAATACCCCTTGATAGAAACTTGTATTTTCTCAAGCAAGAAGGGATGAAACACAATAACACCACTAATTCATAACAGTATGGTATAGGTAAAGATGGCACTGGGGCGGCCCGGCCCAAGGCCGGACATGGCCAAGCACGAAAAAAAAACACGACACGATACGGACACGATGTAGGCCCAGCACGACACGTTACTGTGCATGTGGGTCGTGGGCCGCCTTTATTTGGGAGAAGACAATAAGGCATGGCACGGTCGGGCCTGGCACAACAAAGCATGCTAAAATCAATGCAATTTTGCTTAGGCACGCAAGCCCGACACGATGGCACGTGGGCCTACGCCGTGCACGGGCCAACCTTTTGAAAACTTCGGCCCGGCCCGGCACGGCACAAAACTCGTGGGACGGGGCTAACTAACCCCAAAGCACGTGGACCCGGCACGAGGCATGACCCAACACGACCCAAAACCATCTTTAGGAATAGGTGTGTTCTATTCACCTGATTACTTAACTAAACTTATCTTATTTTATCTTAACTTATCTGAACTTACCTAAACTTATCTGAACTTATTACACCTTATTAAAACTTATTTTAGTTGTAATCTGTGTTGGGTAACCCTTATTAAAATTTATTTTTCCTAATCTGAACTTAACTGAACTTATTACACCTGAATTAAGTGAAAATAAGGTGAACAAAAATACAACTTAATCACCATGATAAACTTCCGAGGGAGGTATTTCAAAAGCATATTGAGTAACTGCTATTCAAAATTTGATGCATAATCAGGGGTAATTCAAACGTTTTGTAAGTGATGGGACCACATTATGTCACTCTAATTTTTAAAATTCAATGTACCAATGTACGTAGTTATTTTAATACCATTATAAACATTATAATACCATAACATTATACTATCAATGACACAATTTCATAACATATTGATACAATTATCCGCTTCGTAAGTATACCATTGTAGTCATCTTTGGTACCATTATAATTATTTATAGTACCGTTACTCAGTGGTACTAAATGTCATTTTCTATTTATTTGTCAATCTATTTACAATTTTACCATGTTATGCAACTACATATACATAACAAATTAACAACACTACATTTCTACTTTTTCCTTCTAGGGTCATGATTAAATTTTGCAAGCAAAAATAAGGACATTTTCGTCAATTCCATGAAAACTGAGAAAATAGAGATTTAATGGGAAAAAACGAGCAGCTTCAATGAAGAAATTAATGGAGGAGAACGAAACATCTGCCCTTTGGGGTTAACCATGCCTTTTATTCCTCCACTTGTTTTTAGGGTTTAATTTTCGTTTTATTTGAAAATGGTTGTCGGGGTTGTCTCCATTGAAGCGACTTAATTCTCCATTGAAGACGGCGTTAGACCCCTTTGACGGTGATGTATTTAGATTTGCCTTTTTTCTAATTAAATAAACATTTATTTAACGATATAACACGAAAACTGTAATACTCTATATGTTTATAATATTATATATATATATATATAAATTATATATTTTATTTATAAATTAAAATGATTCATTTCATTTTAAATAAATAAATTATTTAATTATAAAATAAGTGTGTATAAAATAATATGAGTTATTAATTGGGGCAATAAAGTATTTTAAATTGGATCAACATCACTCAAAGTATTGAACTAACTTGTTGGGAATAAAAGAGTATTAAGGGCCTAACAAGTTAGCCCCAAAGAAGAATTCAAGGAGGAAGAGGACTAGTTGACAATTGTGTAAATAAATGTTTTTGTTTTATAGAAGGGAGATAAATACCCCAAAAACTCAAGGATTTCACATTCAAAAATCAATTTGTCAAATTTCATAAAACCCAATTTTTTTCTCTTATGTTTCTCTCTCTTCTTTTTCCTCTTTTTTTCCTCCTTTCCCACGCCTCTCTCCTCCTCTCCACACGCCACCTGCGCCACCACCGACCACTCGCGACCATCGACGGCCAGTAGCAGCACCGGCAACCCAGCTGTGCCCTTCTCTTCTCTCTCCTCTCCTACAGTTTTGGTATATATTAAAGGGAAAAAAAAACTCTTTTCTTCTAATTTAATTTCTAAGCTTGTTTAATTAATTCAAAACATGATTTTAATTATATTTTGATGTTGATTTTGGGTAGTTGATGTTGTTAATTTATGCTTATAATTTTCAGATTTAAATTTGATTAAAAACCCCAATTTACAAGCCCTAGAATTTGGGAATTTAATGTTTATGATTAGGGTTTGATCCTAGGTTGTTGTGGTTACTAAATTAATGATTAGAACATGTTTTTCATGAGTTTTAAGCCCTCAATTAATACTGGAATTTAATTGTACACACTACTTTTTAATTATTATGTTAGGGTTTGATTACCCATAAAAGGGAAAAGGTTTTTCATGATTTAAGTATGATTTTCTGGTTTATTAGTGATGTTTTATACTAAATAAGTATGCTAAAATTTTATTTAAATCATGAAAACTAAGTCTTTTTGTAAGAGTTTTAAGTACCCACTTCAAGAAAAGGTTTTAAGGCTTTTAAACCATTAAATTGGGTTAATTAGTGAGGTTTAAAGTATATAATGGTTGCTGGAAATTTGTGAGAATAGTGGATTAATTGTGGTTATGTATTTTTATTTATTTGTAGGAAGTTTCGAGCTAGGAGATTTCTAGCGAGTGTGGCCGAGTTTAGGCGTTATTCAGGGTACGTATGCGCGTAAAAGTGATTGTGTATGCATATAGTATCATGCTAGGAATGTAAAGTATGTTTTAAGTGATGAATTAGTAGCATGTTTGGTTGATTAAATGCTTGGATTTTATGTTGGCTGATCATGAATTATTATGCAAGCATGTAAATATGCTATTTGAGGCGTAATACAAGTTGAATATGTATGAATCATGGAAGTATGTTTTATTTTCAAGTATCAAGGAATCATGAATTTAATAAGCAAGACTTATGTATGTTTAAAAGAGCTAAGATTATAATTATTGAGCATGATTTATGATTTTATTTCGCACCCATATATTATTGGAGTTGAGTCAAGAAGTTGGTTTATTTATTTATTTACTCATATAAGTTAAGACTGAGTCAAGAAAGTTTAGTAGTGCATCATTTGCACCAAGGTAGTAATAGTGCAATTTTGTGTACAAAACTAGACAAGGAACCTTAATTAAAATAAATAGTATGTGCTCACTAATTAATTCAAGAATGAAATGGAAGTATGTGTTGTTTATTGTTATGTTTGTTTTTGATTGATTGGTTGGAGTTATCACATGTTAAATTGGTAAATCTCGTAAAGTGTAAGAAAATACGTACCAAAACTCTTGGAACGTATACACCTGGAGTATGAACATACGGGGGGAGTTATGAGGTTTTATATTTAACCATAGCTTCTATAGGGGTACAAGACACTTTACTTTCTTTTATTATTAATGTGCTGGAATTCTGTCACAAGTGTGACATAGTAGGTGCCAATTGAGGTAGCTCCTTGATTGGAAGCTCAATATATCAAATGGGCTTTTTTAAGGAAGGAAACCCATTCGATGAGTAATCTAAAGCTAGTTGTTAATAAATAATATTGTTAGTTATTTGTTGATTTTATGGACTAACGTTGTTATGTTTTGTTTTAAACTTGTTTTTGAAGGGCCATGTTGGTTTTGGTTCCAACTAGTGAATGTTTTAATTTACTTATGTTTTGAGGTTGTGAACTCAAGGTATTTTTTATTTTAAAAAGTTGGTTTTTAATTAAGATTTCCGCTGTGTGGCTTTGAAATAGCCTTAGCCTATTTGGATATTTCCTAAAATGAGTTTTATTTAGAGTAAAAAGAGTATTTTAAAAGAAGGAAATTTTCAAGGTATTACAAAAACCCTAGTGATGTACCGAATTTTGCTCTAGTAACACGTGTACTTGTATTTTGTAGTCTACACTACGCTTGGATGACAATGGGTCAGATTTGTACTGGGTATGACAAGATCCAGACCTAGACCCGCTTTTCAGAAGGTAGTTTCAGATGCAATCCAGATTCATTATATTGAATCTAAAAATATAGTATTAAGTCTTTACCAAGCTAGGAAGAGTTGCAATTATTATGAAACTGGCGTAAAAGAAAATTGCTGCGATTATTACAAAGCGGAGAAAGTACAACATAAAGTATCTAAAAAGGTAGTTAACCACAACATTTTTTTTTTATATAATGTGGTTTCTCTCAAAAATCAAATTTTATAAAGTAAGTTTTGACAAAATTTCCAAAAAGTTAGTTAATACAAAGTATTTTAAATATACTCATTAAATAAACCATCTTACTCCCTCCGTCCCTAATATTTATCTCCATTTGACTTTTCGCGTTCTCAAAGATGTATTTTAACATAGTTTTATTTTCATTTTCATACGTGTAAAAATTATAAAAAACTAGATTTTTATAAAATATATACGAATCCAACAAGTCTAACATAGCTAAATTATCTCTAACAGATTAAAAGTAATTTATGGTCAAAAATTTTAAAATTTGACCCAAATTTTTACAATGGAAAAAAATTAGGGACAGAGGAAATACATATTAAGGAATACCCCATAGCATCAATCAATTTCCATATAAAATGCTGGACAACTTGAACAATCAAAATTCCTTAATCATGCCTCCCTAACAATTCTACTGTCCATGTCAAATCAAATTAGCAGTTTGCCTTTGTTGACTGTTTTTTATTTTACTTATTTCCAATCTTATATGTAAAAGAAAAATGTTCCGTTTATTACCAAATAAATATATTTTGGATTATATTGTCAATAGAGGTCGGAATTTTTTAGCTTATGTGGGCGATGAATTGAGAGATTAGTAGAAAATGGGCGTAGTAAAAAAAATTATTTTTATGCAAAATTTATATATTACTCTGAGCCATTCGTTTTAATAATTACTTTGAGCCATTCGTTCTTCAGTGCTTCTGTAGTTGTGCGGATGGCCATATTATGTAGCCATTCGTAAATGAACAAAGTAACTCCTAGAATACTATTGAACGAGTAACCCCTGTAATACTGATTGAGTAATTTATGTAAGACTGTCGAAGTAACTTCTGTAACACTGACTAAGTAACCTTAATACTAACGAAGTAACTCTTATGATTGTTGACCATACCGTATAGTCAACCATATATTATAACATTAATAAAGTAAGACAGTTATTTTGAAACTGGGAGAGTATCAGCGATTTGCCAGGTGGGCCTGTGCAGGTAAGGGGGCAGCAGTACAGCACACACTCAAGCTGACGTGCAATTAGAAAGACGAGGCCAGTACAACTTAGGGTCCCATCACGTGCTTCTTCTCTGCTCTCAACTCCCTCTCTCTCTCTCGTTCCCAAATCATCGTGATTTTGGACACCCATCGCTGGGTCGAGAGAGAACAAGAAACAGCTTTGATCCATTTCAAACCCCTTAATTCGGAGTATTTTCTTGTCAAATTCAGGTTTTTCGCTTGAATTTCGCAATTTCCAGAACCCCCAACTTCAATTAGTTGCACAATTTTTAGGAATTTAAAATGAAAAATGTCAAAGGCAAAGGTGTTTTTTCGGCTCCTGGTGATTATATCTACTTCAAATCCCAAGTTCCTCTTCACCAAATTCCTGTAATTTTTCTCTATTTTAATTTTTTTTTCCTTTCATATTTGATGGTGTTTTTGTTAGTTTAAGCTCAGATTTTTTTTCTTCCTTTTGATGATTATGCTGTTTTAATTGTTGTCATGAAACTATCCCATTAATTATTATGATTTGGGTGTTTTAAATTTCAATTCTTGGGTTTAATTAGTGAATTGGGGTTTATTCGGAGAAGGGTGGTTGAAATGTTGAATGTTAGATAGGAGAATGAAATGAGTGAATGACTTTTGCACTTTTATCTGTTGTTTTCTGTAAAATTTTGATACATTATTACCATTATCTGGTACAAAAATGAAGTATCAAAATCATAGCTGAGAAGTGAGTTCCTCATATTCCCTCCCTCCCAAATGTGTGATGCTGTGAAAACTGTCAGTCTAATTTGAGTTGAGTCTCTATTAAGGTCTGAAGACTTCATAGTAGTCCGAATTGGATTTTCGATGATCATGTCTCTTATTGATCTTAGTTTGTCATAGGGACTGACGGAGCTCGAAATTTTGAGTGATTTGTATCTTGAAACCTTGACATTCACCTCTTGTGCAGTGTGGTGCCTTACCAAGAAATACAAGCTATGAGCTAGTTGTGTTTAAAATCTTTTTATAAAGGATTGGCATTCTCAGATGTTTTCATACCTAACATGTCAACTTTGGCAAGTGGCATTGCTTGATAAAATTTGTAGAACTCTATTTTACGGCTGTGTGTGAGGCCACGTGCTTCATAGTTTCATTGATCTAATAATGGAAATTATCAGTATATGATTGATTGTCTACTCTGTGTTACAATTTGTCCCAACCTAATATATGTCGCATATTGTTGTTTATTATCATAATGTTCATTCAACGCTTTTTTGCTATAGGTTGGCTTAAAGCAATGGAGATATTATGACTTTGGTCCAAAGGTGGTTCCTCCACTCATCTGCATCCCAGCGACAGCAGGATCAGCTGATGTGTACTATAAACAAATTATGGCATTGTCAATGAAGGTAGTGTTTTGATTGATTTGACCCTTCTTCACTTGTTTCTTTACAGCTGCATTTGCAAATTTATGTATAAGAAATTCAGAATTCTAGGTTTTTCTATACTTCTTGATTTACCAGCTCAGTGTTAATTAGTTTGCTACTGTGAGTTTTGGTTTGCGTTTGCAATTTGCTACCTAATTTGCTGAATTGGGCCAAATATTGCCAATTTGCTAGTATAATTTGCTTTTTTTAGTTTGCGGGGGATGAGGGTAAACTCGGTTTGTTGTAGGGATGCAAATGAATATATTTATTCCTCATTACTTTATTAATTGACAATGTTCATTCTCCTTGTGATATGCTTAGCTCTACAATTTAATGAATGACTATTAGTCTTTTGTACTGCTTTAAAAGATTAAAACCTTATAATTAGCAAAGCTTTTATATCTCATGTTCTTCATCTATATACTTCCTTTGTCCCACTAGAATGTGAAGAACAATTACTTTTTAAGCTTTGCTTGGGTGAGTTTGATGAAACAGAAATTTGTGGGACCAAAGGTAGTGTATGTGAGAGAAATTTGGTGATCCCTCATGAGTCATGACTATTATGGTATGGGGCAAACTCAATGGGACATCCCAAAGAAGAATATGGGGCAAGGACGAAGGGATTATATGATATATATCCAGGGAGGTAGGGACATGAAACACTTAAATGGGTTATTTTCTTGTCTAACACCCAAGTACTTTGATAGTTTGATATGTGCGCTTAGTATGTCAATACCAACCTTGGCATGAGTCCATATGACTCATATGATACTTGATAGGATCCATGCATTGTATGGTTTTAAGTGATATAACTACAAGATCCTGGTAACACTGCAGTTGATAAATGTAAAAATAATCCTTAAGTAGTATCTATTATCCATGACACTCCTAAATCTGGAACTTGTCTACATTAGCAGTATTTAAATTCAGTGTACCCTCACTAATTTAGATGTGAACACACTTTTCACCAACTCCTCACGTTAAGAGTTTCAATTATTCAGACATGATCACGTGAAACTAATATATGACCATCCACTAAAACTGTACTTGATGCCATATGAGTGGCCCCGAGGGGCGAGAGGATGGGAGGATCCACTCTATGACCCCAAAATTGTTTACCAGCACTATATTTGTAAAGTGAGCCTTTCGTTATTGCTGGTAATTAATGCCGCTTCTACTTCCCATTAGCTGTGTGGGCCCCGATCAGCATTTAGGCCGATATTCTTGTTCTAAATGCGAGACAGTTAAGGAATGTAAATCTACTTCTTGGCTTCTTCCACAGTTTGTGAGTTCAGTGAACCGTTTTTAAGAGCTTCTCATGTTTCTCTTGTGTGTTGATCGAGTGATTGACACGTTTATTGCTTCACATAATCTTCTCAAATCTTAAGAAGTTAAGATTCCCTTCTGTGCCTTTTCTTGGAAATATGGGAAGAATTGGATCTCCAAGAGTTTTATCTATTGCACACATCATCCGATGATTATCCAAATGTTGCTAATGTAAATACTGGACTAGTCCAATATTGTCCAAAAGTTAGTAAGTTACGCTATATATTGAATTTTCCCTAGTTGGGTATCTCTCCCCCCCCCCCCCCAAGTATTAATTATTATGAATGGTTTTGATTGTACCGATCACACTTCAAGAAATCTTTTTTATTTTTCTCTGTAGGGTTGATGATGAGTTGGTATAAATAGAACATTTCCTGCATGCTTAGATATTGAATATTTGGAATATACCATTAGTTTCTCTGCTTCCTCTTCTCATTTCTCTCTCTCTCCGGTTCCTAGCGTATTTGAACGGTTTAACTTAACTGAGTTTCTTACAAAAATTTCTTCCTCAGGGTTATCGGGTCATTTCTGTTGATATTCCTCGTCTATGGAGTCATCATGAATGGGTTCATGGATTTGAAAAATTCTTGGATGCAATTGATGTTCATCATGTAAGCATATCTTGGTCATCTTAAAGTACAACTTATTAGTTATTATGCATGACATTTTCTGCTTTATTTGACTGATTTAAACTAAATGGTAGTACGCTAAAGGGCAGGGGGCCTTCACTTGTAGGAGTGATTATTTTTTTTTTTATTTGCCTTTTTTTGCAGTATTGATACAGCTCCTGAACAAAAATTATCAGTTCTAGTAGAGGCCACTCTAAAAAAAAAAGGGTTTTTTGGGGTGTGGGGGGCGGGGGGGTGTGGGGGTAGGGGATTCTGCAGTATTTATTGCATGGGAGGGAAAATGGGTCTGTAACTGAGATGCATGGAGAGAATGGAGTCTCTTCAAGAATTTGAGAGCAATATGGGAAATGAGGCAGTACGAGGTTTGGGAGGTGTAGTTAATATTTGAGGCTGGCTTTGAATATCATTCTGGTTTTGTTTTGAGGAAATCTGTTACATTTGGTAAACACGCATAGCAGTTGTTTCATATTTCTGTAATGTTTCATGCTTCATGGTTGATGTGGTTAGGCAGAATAATAAAGCTAATTTTTTTTTTTTCTTAAAAAATTGCTATATATGTGCCATTAAAAAGGACACTACCTTTAATCAACCAATTTTCTATTAATCAATTTTTATTTATTTAAAATTCTGCTTCAAAATCATTAATTCTCTAACTTATAAGTGAGCCTGATATTGTCCAATTGTCAATATTATTATGGTTTAGATATGGCCTCTCTATTCATCGTATAGTTTTGCTTTATTTGTGGGATTCTGAAAGCTTAAGTTGGATCCTAACAATTCTTCACTCATTAGATTCACATTTATGGAACATCGCTTGGAGGCTTCTTAGCACAATTGTTTGCTCAACATCGTCCAAGACGAGTCAAGTCATTAGTACTCTCAAATACATTCTTGGATACACGGACTTTTGCATCCTCTATGCCTTGGGCTCCTGTGTAAGTGAAATTTACTTTGCTGTGTCAGCTTTCAGCCAACTGATATTGCAAGTTTGCAACTCGATACAATATTTTCTAGTGAATTCCCTTTGTTCTCTCCCATTTTAATATTGTCTCTCATGGTGAGGCTAAAAATTCAAATTTGTAAATGGCTTTAAGTGCTGCACTTTTTTACCGATAGTTATTCTACTTTCTTGTGGATCTTTTAAATAAAGAAATTTTGTATTTTACCACCCACAAATAACCCACTTTTTGAAATTACCACCCAAATTTTATTTTTTTTTATTTTAAATTACCACCCATAAAAAACAAAAAAAATTTGATTTCACCATCAAATTGGTTAATCTAACGTTTTAAAAAAAAATTCTTCAATTTTCGTGCCAAAAACCATGTTCTTTAGAGGTTTTGTGGTCATTTTTGCCCAAAGAGTCCGATTTGAGGTCAAAATTGAAAAATAATTAACGAAAATGTCTCATTTTGCGTGTGTCACGCAAACCGAGGTATCTTTTAGTATGTAAAACAAGGCATTTTCAATCATTTTTTGTAAATTTTGACTTCAAATCGGACCCAAAGGCCAAATATGACCCCCAAAATATTTAAGGAGCATGTTTTTGGCTTGAAAATCGAAAGAATTTTTTTTAAAACGTTAAACTTAACGGTTTTTTTAACGGAAAGTGGTAAAATCTAATTCTTTTCTCTTTTATGGGTGGTAATTTAAATTTAAAAAATTTTTGGGTGGTAATTTCAAAAAGAGGGTTATTTGTGGGTGGTAAAATACAAATTTTCCTTTAAATAATCAAAGTAGCTAACTAGTTGAGTATTATTCACAAAATCCTTAATGAGAAATTTATGATCACTATCAACATTGAAAAGACACTAGCCTCATAGACTTGGTAAATTATTGAGAATTGTATTCTTTATATTTCTAATTTAATCCCTTGTAGGTTGATGACTTGATTTCCATGGACCCTATGAAAATACAACAGGATCCAAAAGTTAAGCTGCAGAATTGCAAAATTGTTGTCTATAAATTTACCAATAAGCATAACTATATTTTCGGAACTTTTGCCCAAAAAATTGGAAAATAAAGTATAACTGTATTTTACCATATTTTGTTCACTCAATGTCCCTTTCTTTTTGCATGTTACTTAGGAGATGCTCTGATTATTGTGCAAATTATGCAGTGTGAGCTGGGCACCTTCATTCCTTTTGAAACGATATGTCTTGACGGGTATTCGAGATGGCCCCCACGAGCCATTTATTGCCGATTCTGTTGATTTTGTTGTATCTCAGGTGAAGTTCATGATGACTCTCTCGATAAATCAACCATTAGATTCTGTTTCCATTCTGGTTTCAGTTATTAAATAGGGTCAAAATCCAGTTTTCTGCGCAACTGATGCATTCTTTTATTACTTCATTTTTTTTATTTTTTTTTGAGACAGGTATTACTTTGTAGCAACTTTCTTTGTTTCATTTTGCTTTTTAAAAAATCTAAGCATGTCGCTATCCTCAAGAAAAATTCCTTTTTATTTATTTATTTTTTTTATTCCCGCTTTCTTAACAGGATAGAACTAAACCTTTTTATATAGGTTGAAAGACTTTCAAAGGATGATTTGGCATCCAGATTGACTTTGACAGTTGAATCTGCTTCAGTTGGACCTCTTCCGCTACCAGATGCATCTATAACTATAATGGATGTATGTTTCCCCTCATATATTTATTATTTCTGTTATTATTTGTGCATGATGTTTTTTTACAAAAGAATTATGTTTTGTTTGTCACCTGACTATGTATAACATCATACATAGTAAGAGGTTTAACATTTAAATTTCCAAGTTAGGATTTGGGAGAAACATGTATTGGATACTAAGATGGGTACACAGGGAATATAATTTTCTTAAAACAAACTACATGAAGCTCAGTTTGGTCTTGTAAGATGATGATATTTAGAAATAAAAAATGAAAAGTTGATAGGTTTTTCTTTTCCCTGTCCTTGAGGTGGTTTTTCACATGGCATATGATTTTCGTGTACATGTATTCATGTTTGTGACCCTCTGCAATGTCCTCAGACAAATGACTATTGTGCGATTCCACAAGAGCTTAAAGATGAAGTGGGTGAAAGGTATCCTGGAGCTAGACGAGCATTCATAAAATCTGGGGGTGATTTTCCATTCTTGTCACGACCTGATGAAGTTAATTTGTATCTTCAGGTATTTTCCAAGTCTCTCTCTCATCAGAATTAACTTAGCCTGTTGGATCACCTTAGAGCTCCCATTGTTGGTGGTCAGTTATGTGACACTTTGTGCTTGGTACAACAGTTGCATCTTAGACGTGTTGGAGTGGAGCCTCAGCCGGACATGATTCAAGGTGCACCTAAACCCACTGATGTTGGCAACTCTTCTGCACTAAAACAGAGAGAATATGATGATCACGGATCCAATGATGTTGGAAGCTCCAGAGATCCATCAAATAGTGAACAGGGAGATGATAATGCTAATAACTTACCAGATAATGATGAGCATGAAGTAAAAAAACTGCCTAAGGGGAACGAAGACAGTTGTAAAGGTCCATTGGGAGGTGATGAGAGAGAAGATAAAGATGATCCACCCGGAGACAATGGAGGATTCCCTAGGGGTCCCTCAAATAACAATGAAGCCAAGGTTGCCAAGGAACCAACTCAAGATAATGCTGAAAGCTCTGGAGCAAAGAATAGTGGTAGTACAAATTCCGATGACACTCCTAAAGATTCAGAGACAAGACTTATCTCTTCTCTTCCTGATGATATGATACCTAGTTGCTCAAATGAGCAATGGCCAGGTAATCACCCGGCTCAATTGTTGAACCAAGACCCACAAAACCTCTCTGCTGCTAGAATGTTTTCTGAATATCAGCTGGTTTTTCTTTCTTATGTGCTTCCTGCTTACTTCAGGGCGTTGCATATTACCTGTTGTGTGCATTCTTGTAGATGTAGATAGTTGGTGACCTTGGTGTGATATGATTGAAAGTTTGCTCAGTGTTTCTGCTTAATATGAAATTTTGAATACAAAGCTATTTGCCATAGGCATGAACTCCTGCTGGTTTGTTGGATGCTATGGTTTCCCCTATATTGGGTCTCATTCTTTTCCTCCAAATTTGATTGATTTGTACCTGTTGTTGCCTTGACAATGTAGTTTGATCATCTCACTATTGCAATTAATAAGTAATTTTCAGAATGAATTCCCTTTTTTTTTTTTTTGGTAATTGATTAATTGATTGTTTTCTTAGTGGAAAGATTGTGAAGATATTGTGCTCCTTGATGATTACTAATGTACTAACTACCGCAATGTTCATTTTACTAATCTTATCTGAACTTATCAACCTTTATATTATCCTATCTTGTATTATTAAACTTTATTAAACATTTTTAAACATTATATGTGGTCTTATTAGACCTTATCGTAACTTAATAAATCTTATATGAACTTGTTTCTAAACTAATGAACTCGTATCTTATATGAACTTATTAGCTTTTTTATGATTTTATTTGAATATGTATAAACTTATTAACCCTTATTTTATTAAACTTGAAATAAAGTAAAAATAAGGTGAGGAAAACAAAGTCGTACGTAATATACTTATACCTATTTAATGCTAAGTTGGCCTTATGGGTGTGCCTATGTGCCTGTTTATAATAATAGAGAAAATACAAGTTTCTCAACATGAGAAACCTTGTATGTTTCTCAAAAGGGCTTTTTGGTCTTTTTGGTAAAAAATTACCCACTGCTCTCAACTTCTCTCTCCTCAACCATGAAATTTGAGCAATTTTCAACAATGGAAATCGAATATTTCTTCAACAATGAAGGGAACAATTTCAAACAATGGCAAAAATCTATCATTTGGGGTTAACCATACCATTAATTTATATATGGTAGTGTTATGGTTGGGGTTTGTTGTGGTATTGGTGGTGTCGGTTATGGTGATGGGTTTCGTCTTCCATGGATGATTCAAAAGATTGAAGAAGGAATGATGAAAATGGAAGGAGGAGGAAGAAGATGACTCAGCAAGAAAAAAATAATAAAATATTAAAAAAGTTGCCATTATTTACGTATTTGTCATTAGAAATTGGGGCAAGCTCATAATAATATGGCCACATTTTGTTTAGACCACTCTCAATGGTGAGCAAAAAAAATGCTCACCCACTCTCTCTCTACCCACTTTCTCTCTCAACAAATCAATTTTGCTCATGGGCAAATTTTTTTCATATTTCCTCTCCCAATGGTGAGCAAAAAAAATGCTCACCCACCACTATCTCTCTCTTACTTTTTCAATACCCCACCATAACTTTCTCTCTCCTACACAACACTTCTTTATTTATTTATTTCATTTATATTTTAACATTACTCCAAATAAATAAAAACTAGTTTAATTATGTGTAACTTATTTTTTTTATTTTTTTCTTTTTTATCGTTAAAATTTATCGTAAAATTATTTATGTTATTATAAATAATTGTAAAAAAAAGCTCATAATTTTTTATTTATTTTAAAAGCGGTACAATATTAGAGAACAATTAATTTGCAACGTCATGCGCAATTAAACTTAGGAAATAAAAAAAACACAACAACTACATCGTCTAATTTCTCCCTAATTACGGGGCCCGTATCGTTGCCAAATATGTTCGACTAAATCACGTTTCAGAGATAGATGAATTTCTCTGTCACGGAGGGAAGCTTTTCGCTGTAGAAATGCGTTGAAGTCAAAGTTGGTAGGGCGGCCTACGTTAAATTCAAACGGTGGCGTTGTAGATGTTGATGCTGGTGTTGATTCTTGTTGATCTTCTTCGTAGAAGGCTCTTAGAACTTCGGCTCGAGTGTAGTTGTGGCGCTCATCTTCAACAATCATGTTGTGCATAATGATACATGCTTTCATTATGTCTCGCAGTATGTCCTCATCGTACGTCAGTGACGGTTTTCGTATTATTGCAAATCGAGCTTGCAAAACACCGAATGCTCTTTCAACGTCTTTTCGAGCAGCAGCCTGGTGGTCAGCGAACAATTTATCTTTTTGAAGTTGAGGGGTTGTGATACCCTGAACAAAAGTTGCCCACTTCGGATAAATACCGTCGGCTAAGTAATATGCCATGTTGTATTCATGGCCGTTAACGGTAAAATTTACCGGAGGAGCTCGACCATGCAGAACCTCATCGAACACTGGGGAACGGTATAAGACATTTAGGTCATTACAAGATCCAGGAATCCCAAAGAAGGAATGCCATATCCATAAATCCTGATCTGCAACGGCTTCCAGTATTAGCGTTGCTTTCTTGTTCCTACCGGCGTACTGCGCTTTCCATGCCGTTGGACAGTTCTTCCATTCCCAATGCATGCAATCAATGCTGCCTATCATGCCTGGAAATCCACGCAGTTCATTTTGATGCATAATTCTGGCCAATTCAGCAGTTGTAGGGTTTCGCATGTACTCGGTTCCGAACTGATTAATGACCCCGGTACAAAAACGTTGAAGAGCAACTCGAGCAGTTGACTCACTGATCCGAACGTATTCATCCACGGCGTCCGCAGCCATGCCGTAGCCTAACATTCTTATCGCTGCTGTACATTTTTGCAGAGGTGATAAACCTAACCTTCCAGCAATATTCTTATATTACATGGCCTAAAATATTTTTTTTTTAAAAAAAAAATCACATATAATATACTACTTATATTTAACTGATTTTAAAAATTAAATAATTTTTTTTTTACCTCAATATGGATGAATTGCAATAGCAATATTCTTCTACAAAATTAAAATACTTTTAAGAAAATTAAAATTTGGAGGATTTTAAGGTGTTTTTGAAATTGTATCAAAATATATCAAAATGCATGTCTATTTATAGAGAATTTAATTTTATGACCGTTGGTAATTTTTTTTTTTTTTTTACAAAATATATTTTTCTGAAAATGGGAAATACATAAATAACCGTTGTAAAACGGCTAGTATTTTCTGATTGGTTGTCTTGCTGCCAGCTGCCACGTGTCGCGTCCTCATTCGCCAGCGAACTGCACGCGTCAGCTTCCCTTTTTTTTTTTTTTTTTTTTTTTTTTTTTTTTTCTGATACTCAAAACGACGCGTTTTGAGGCGCGCCTTTGAGGCAGCTTCATCAAAACGCGTCGTTTTGATGTTAGAGTCAGCTTTTTTTTTTATTTTTCTGACGCGTGTGGGGCCCACTTGCAACACTGTTCATGGCAAAAAATGCTCAACTTTTGAGCTTTTTAATAAATGCTCATGAGCATTTTTACCTATTTTTCATTTTACTCACCATTGTGAGTTGTGAGCATTTTTTTTCCTCACAAAAAATGTTCATGAGCTAAAAAAACTCTCACCATTGAGAGTGCTCTTAGTTGGTCCCAAGTAGGCAAGCAGACAAGTAGTTCATTCTTTAGTATGCTTAAGTTAAATTTTGAACTTTCCAAATTATTTTCCATGATATCGTCATTCGACATTAATGTTTTGATGAGATTACAATGGTAAGGTTAAGTTGTAAACATTTAAATACTCTGAATTTTCTTTTGAACAATTAATAAGAGTAGTTAATATGTTATGATTATGAGTTTATGACATTATTGCCAAATTTCTTGTTATGGCCTCAAATGAATTGTTGAGTAATTTTTAGAGACTCATCTCACTAGTGACGAAAAGACACAAATTTGTTTTTATTAATTTAATGATTATAGGAGTTATAAATTTATGTGAAGAGCCCCACTTTCGATCATGAGGGGCTAATAAATAACCTCGAGAAAGTAATTTCGTGTGTAATTTTTATATCAACCGAACAAACAATTATTATAGTAGGATTGATTACGAAATTGAACTATAGTATTTCTAATATTTTTTTTTTAGGAAAACGGAATAGGATTTCTAATATTAATACAGAAGTAGCATAAGATTTACAATACATAAACAAAGCTTTATAAATCTATAGAAATTCTAGGCTTAAAAACAAAATAATACAAGTAATTTATATTAATAGCAACATGATCACTTGACAAGAAGTTGAGAAATAAACTCTTCATACTGAAACCTTCCATCCTCTCCAACATCAACTTCTTGAATCCAATCATCAAACTCTGCCGGATCCAACTTCTCCCCAATGTTGGTCAATATATGTCGAAGGTCCGAAACCGACACAAAACCGGAACAATCCTTATCAAGTACCCGAAACGCATCACGGAGCTCCGACTCGAACGGATCATCAGGTTTCATGTACTTAACCATTAGTTCAAGAAACCTGTGGAAGTCAAAAGGGGAGGTGAGTTTTTCTCTTTCTAAGATGTGGCGGAGTTGCGATTGAGTCGGGTTCGAGCCTAATGAACGCATCACGATACCGAGATCCGACGGAGCGATCTTACCGTCTCCGTCGGTGTCGAAAAGAGAGAATGCTTCTCTCATTGATGCTATTTGATCTTCATACTCTTTTCCCATTTATTTGAATTTATGGGTATGTTTATTTTGATCTAAATCTCACTAAAAATGAAAATGCATGTGGAGTTTGAATGGGGTTTGGAACTTGGATGTTTAGTACTTATGGGAGTGATGAATGATGAGGATGCATTAAATTATAAAGACGTGGAAGAATTATGGAGGATCATGTTAAATTTCATTTTGGGCGGGATATTTTATTCATAATTTAAAAAAATTGTTTTATTTGAATTTGTCTTTTTTATTAAATGATCGGATGTAAAAGTAGGCAGATAACTTGGAATATATGTCATTTTTGTTTTTGAAAGTTTTTTACACTTTTCATTTTAGCTAGATCTTAAAAGGTCAGAGTAAAATTTGTCTTTTTTATTTAAATGATCAAATGTAAAAATAAGCAGATAATTTGGAATATATTTCAATCCTGTTTCTGTCTTAAAAGATCATATTAGAATGATTTAGACTGAATCAGACTATTAAAGTAAAATAGAAAAATTCATACTAGATGAGATAGTATTATAATGATAATGAATTAGAGAAACCTAAAAAATTGATCAAACAAGAACAATTCACACCATTTACCTTAACTATGGGGAAAAAAAACCTATAGTTGATTTACCAGCAAAAAGTAAGATTGAAATTACTTAAGATCTAGCCTCGTGCTCAATCTGATCTCAACCAGTTAATTACGCATAAAGAATGTCCAACGACAAATGTTACAAGAGTAGAAAGTAAGATTGAAATTGCTTAAGATCTATCCTCTTACTTAAACTGATCTCAACTATTTAATTATGTATAACAAATGTTACAAGGGGTATATAACAAATCTAGAGAGAAACTTAGAGGACAAAAGACTTTGAAACTTGCAATGAGTTTATTTTGGCCAAGGAGAAATCTCTAGAGGGACAAATTATTGGGAGACTTAAGAATATCGGAGTAACTTATTATCTTTTTGGGTGTATAGAGAGTTGTAAGGATGATAATGTAGACGAGATTTAATACCAAGCCTTAACTCTTGAGTATTATAGAGTATTTTTTTAAAACTTTAATAACTTGGCTAGTTAACTAGGGGTGTCAAAAACTTACCAGACTTTAAAGATTTACCTGAAACCGAACTGTTTTCGAATTGATTGAACCCGAATATTTTTCATCCAAATCCGATCCGGAATCAACCCGAACTTAACTCGAAATCAATTTTACCCGGTAATTTACGATCCAAACCCAACTTGGTATCGACTCATTGTTTATCCGAAACCAATAAAACCTGATAATTAAAGACCTGGATTCAATTTAACCCGAAACGAAATCTACCTGAAACCATTTATACTCGAGAAATACCTCATTTTACCCGACCCTTATTCAACCCGATCCAAAACTACCCACGACCCCATTAAACTCGACCCAAAACATATTAGTTAATTAGTTATCGACTTATTGATTATAGTGGAGACCAAAGGGGGATTTTAAATATAAAATGTAGCTAATGGGGGTTATATATAATTGTTAGTAGAAGCGAGAAATTCTAAAACACTTGTTAAATAGGGTTGATAGGAGTGAAAGATAATTTATATACTTGTATAGATAATAGCTCAATAATGAGTTTAAAATTACATATGATTGTTTCAAACTGAAATCTAATCAAAACTAAATTGATTTGAACTGAGATCTAACTGAATCCGAATTGACCTGATCCAAAGTCTATAAGATCCATTTTGACCCAATAAACCCAATTAAATCCGACTCCGAGCTCACTTGAACTCGATATGACTCGACCCAAATTCGACTTGACCCGTATTCGATCTGTACCTGACCATACTTGGACCCACCTTTAACTCAAATATAATTAAGCCTAACCCAACTTGATTTGGTTTGTTAGGATAAAATGACCCGTCATTACCCGATCCAAACACCCCGACCCATTGTAGGTCAACCCAAACTCTATTCTGAATACCCGATTTGACACCTCTATTAGTTAACACCTCGATTTATAATCCAATATCATGATATTTTTTATGGTAGATTGAATTGTATGCTACTTTTCTTCGATTTTATAATAAGATTATAGAATTTCTATTTAATATTGACTACTTTGGCAAACTGTCTACTACTTCTACGAAATGAAATGATGGTTTGATGGTGACGAGATCTTGGATCTTTAGACCAAATCAGAGATAATAAGATCTTGTCCATATTATTGCATTAATAAGTCAGATAATCTTCCATTAAATTCAAAACAGATCCCTAATTTAATATTTAGCTGATCCAATCTCAATTGCTTATCACTCACCACGAGTACGTACTAGATAGAATCAAATGTATCTATGGGAATAAATTCTCATTTTTAGTATTTACTTCAACTTTTTAACATACTTTTTGACTAATTAGCAATATGAATGACTAGTGAACGATGAATTGTATCTGAATAAGGGGAAGATTGTGGTTTTTTAAAAACACATGATTTTAGTCACCGGACCTTTTAATATAAAAAAAAAAAAAAGAAAAGTTAAATAATTTAAAGATCTAAAGTTCAGTCCTTGAATCTTTGTAAGGTGATGATGACGGATCATAATGTGAGTTTTTTTTTTTTGAAGAAAATAATGTGAGTTTTCGTTATAACTGAAGTTATTTTTTAATTTTAGTATGATTATAACCGGTTATGTGTATATCAATTAATTTAATTCGCTTAGTCTTTGTCCTTAAAGGGTGAACGACCTTGATCTTACAAATAAATCACCAGATATAAATCACAACTAATCAATTATTTATCATTCTACTAACTAAAACTTGAATTGATTATTATTGAATGCAGCCCTCCTCTTCCGTATAGTAATCACCTAATATAGTCAGAGTAAGTAGGGTAAAAGTTAAAAGAATACAACTTAAAATGACACATAAAGTAAATAACAAATGTAGCAAAATTTTACAGATAATCAGATACGTCATCTTTTTTTTTTTTTTTTTTTTTTTTTCACTTAGACACGACTTTTGCAGTATATACACTCTACTTTAGCCTTAATTGAAGGATTAACTAAGTCATATGCAAACCTATTTGAATCGTTTCAACATTAAAATAAAGTTACCATCATAACATTAGATTTTCATAATTTTTACTTATTGATCTATTAAAATTATTGATTGCTTTAATAATCGTGATTAATAAAATAAGTTAAAAGTAAAATCGAACGAATCAAGTATGAATAAGATAGGTTTAATTTCATAGCACATAATTACCAAATAAGATGAGATGTAAATGAGATGATTGACATTGGGTGAGCCCACTGCATGCAGTTTGGGTCTGCCATATTATAAACGCCCAGTTAATAAGAAACAAAAAAGAGCAAAAGGAGAAAGGTCAAAACAAATACGAGTGCGAATCCAATCCGTTACCCACAAAATAAGGGCACTTTTAATGCAGTTTCAGAGTTTGCGTCCCACACGTTTACTGAAAGTACGGCCCAAAAGGTTGGCCTTTTTAAGATTAAAATAAAGTTCGATCTTGCCGCTTACCACTTTCAAATGACTCCAGAAAGAAGTGTTTTTTTTTTTTTTTTTAATTTATTTATTTTAATGGCAGAAAGAGTTAGGCCCTTTTTTTGAATTGAAGTTTACTGAATAGAAATTCACTACGCTGAATTTGAATTGAAATTTACTGAATTGAATTGAAATTTGTTGAACTGATAAGGTTTGCAGAAAACTCCAAAAGGACAGGGCCTTATTCCCACAATAAACTAACCATCCGTTTAATTGTTGATATTAAACGAAGGTAATGGTAATGATTTTATAAGCAACTTTGTGAATTTTAAATGTGGTATTGTATGGTAATGAAAATTTATGAACAAAAGCACATATTTGTCATTGTAGTTCCATAAACATGGTGATCACCATACGATACATATTCATACATATCTATTACCATTCTCGCAATATATGGCCGCTTGTCAAACATCTTCTCGTAAAGGTTGTTTTATTTAATGTTACAAGAATATTTGGTCTAATTAATTTAGATATGGTTCATTCAATTTCAATTTGATCCATTTAGATCTAATAAATTTTAACATGTTTCAATTTGATTCATGGATTACACTCTATAGTTTATCTTCTTACGATCAAGAATAATAAGGTTTTATAAGTTCTAATTAGGCCCAAGTTTTAACAAATTCAATTAGGGTTGTTCCCTGGTCTAAGATTGAACCAAATCAATTTGAAGACTGAAAATTTAAATATTTTTTAAAAAAAAAAAAAAAAAAGATTTTCAACATATAAAGGTAAAAAATAAACATTCTTGAGGTTTATATAGATAATTCTAAATAGAAAGACCCCTTGTGAAAGGTTATACGGACTTTAAGGAGTATCAAACAACGATGTAAAAGAGGGAATTTATTAATGTCATATCTCATTCACAATAATCATGGTTTTACCCAATTAATTAGAATATTATTAGAGCCAACTTACGTTGTACTTGCTTTTTTTTTTTTTTTTTTTTTTTTATTGTAGATTTCATATGATTATTTTAACAATGGATTAATTTTACGTTAAAAAAAGCCCTAAAGACAAACACGTAGATCAAATGCAATTAACATTATCCAAAAATCTAATCCAATTAAACTACTCCCTTTGTAACCTTTTGAAATCCCCATTTGGAATCGGGGAGTAAATTAAGAAAAGTTAATTATAATGAAAAAGAAACAGTTAAAGTAATAGAAATTTTAAGTTAGTCGTTGGTCTACGTTTTTTTATTTTAGTTTTCTGTTTTTTTGAAAACTAAAAACAAAAAAAAGGAAAGCATAAAAAGTGGTTTGAACCTTTTTTGTTGTCAATCTTCAAAATATTAATGATTCTAATTGATTTAACTAAATTTTTATTATTTTATGAAATATATCATATGATTTTCAAAATTTAAACAACCAAAAAACTGAAAACCACAATGATGTCGAACGGACCTTCGAGACTTTCTTGGATCATAAAATGACAGCAAAGCTTTCTAAACACCCCCTATTCTGTATTGATCAAATTGTTCACATGAGTGAGAAAACTAGATAATAACACAACACAAGAGTTATTGATTAGAATTGCATGGGCTGGGATGATCTAGGCACAACACAGTACACAATGTCCAGCACGAAAGAAAAAAAGCACGACACAAACATGGTGTAGTCTTTGTAATGCAGGCACGCAATGACACATTATTATTGCATTGTGAGTGTCAAGTTGTGAGGCTGAGCCCCTTTTATTTAGGAGAAAACACGACAAGACATGAAGTAGCCCAACATAACTAAACATGTTAAAATTAGTGAAATTTGATGACTTAGGCACTCAAGCATGGGATGGCTCAATTGACGACATAATGACACATTGTCTAGAGTTGTACATGAGTCAACCATTTGAAAACTTTGGCAGTTTATGTACGTA